GTTGGAAAGACATAACCCTATTATACAATGGAGAACTACTCAGGTATAAGGAAGGAAAACCTTGAGGCTCCTGTAGGTAAATGGATATGACTTAGACCAAGCTCAGGGGTAAAAAGGTTCAGAACCACTAAGGTAAATAGTGGATCCCCTCCCCAATCTTTAGAGGAGTTAGTGGGATGCAAAATGCACAATGCAACCTGTGAAAGGGAAAGGGGAGGAATTGTTTTAAAAGGGAAGGCAGAAGACATTGTTAATCTTGTATCATAATTTGAAACCCACATTGTTCTCATTGCTCTGTTTAGTTTGGTTATATTCTGTTATAGTTTGTCTCCTTGTACTAGATTTGAGGGCACAGACAGATATTCCAAAGATAGCAGGATATATTACGGTAACCATTTTAAATTTCATATTAACTTAATTTGAAGCCCTGTGTTGCTTTCACTGTCTGGTTTTGACTGATTTTATTTGAATCTGTTTTGTTTGAAAGTATCAAGTCTGAGGGTATAGGCAACTACTTTGAAGACAATAAGATGCACTATGATATCCATTCTGCTTTGAGTATTATCTTCTTTTGAAGTCCTAAACTGTCTCCTATGTTTTATTATTACTGATTTTGTTTTGTACTGTTATGTTCAATTATCTTATGCCTGATCATATGGGCAATTCTATTGAAGATAACAAGAGACATTATGGTGACCATTGTTGATCACCTTGTATTGTGGTTTTAAATCATGTACTATATCCATCCTTTTGTTTTGACTGACCTCATTTTGTTTTCTCTCATTTGGTTTTATTCTCTTGAAAATGAATGGAACAGCCAAGCATGGTAGCCCACTTGGGAGGCTGAGGCAGGTAGACTGCTGCAAATTCAGACCAGTCTGGGCTACAAAGTGAGCCCAAGGCCAGCCTGAACTGCATAGTGATCCTGTCTCAAAAAGACTAAATAAATAAAAGCGGAGAGATAGAAGGGGTCCCCTATTAGGTTGCCCAGGACTCTGTCTTTTCCAGGGACTTTTATAGAGCAAAATCATGAGATTAGATGGCTTAAATGTGCGGAAAAATGGGAATTTGCAAATGGGCATAAAGTAGGGCAGAATTGTCGTCAACCTGTAAGATTAATTTCTCAGGTAAAATTGATCAAATTAAGAACAAATGGGGAAGTGAGTCACGTAAGCAATTCTTCCTATAGGGAGCTGGGATGGTGACTCTTGGCTTCTCAAGGTGATCCAGATTATACTTAAGGGTGTGGTTACATTTGTTTCTTCTTTTGTCCTGAGATCTGACCCACAGAGGTCTGTGTCCTCCAAGGTCATCAGACATCTGGTCTTGTGCCGGCTTCTTCAAGGGCCTAGCCCTGTCTGCCTGTAATATTTCTAACTAGCTCAGCTGCTTGTAACAATACAAGCCACAGACTTAAAGATTACATTTTAAATTTCATTCATTTCAAAATATTCCTGATTTTGGCTGTAATTTCTCCTTTGATCCATGAATTATTTATAAGTATATTTGATTTCCAAGTATTTGGACATTTTTCTAGAAACTTTTAAAAATAGATTTAACTTCATTGTGTTTAGAAAACATACCTCACTTAAACTAGTTTAAAATTTGTCCACGTATTTTTTTAGGTCCAAAATATGATTGCTGTGGTAAATGTACTCTGCCCTGCAGATTCTGGTTGCTTTCATCTTTCTAAATTCTAACTTCTGTCTCCTTAATTTAGGGAAACCCCTGGCTTTGTTCTGACCCAGTCTCCACCGCATACAATGCTATTTCTGTGCAGTAAACTCGAGGAGTCAGAGCCCATCTTGTTTGGTGGCACTGACCTTTGCTGTGTGGGGACCACTGTTAGAACGTTTCTGGTTCATGTATTTTGTCTACTGTTTCACCACAGTCAGAAGTGTAGTCAGAATTCTTTTTTATTTATCCTTAAAAATATTTTAAACAAGAATTTTATATGTATTTTTAATTAATTAATTTTTATAGTTTGGATATGGTTTGAGTTTCCCCAAAGGTTCGCGTGTGGACCTTCGTGAGGTCTGTGAGTCACTGTGGGCCCTCAGAATGCTTCAAGGTACAGCTCCAGAGAGGGTTATTACAGCAGCCTGAGACAAGAAGTACTTTTTTGGGGTTTCAGCCTTCAAAACTATGAGCTAAGTAACTCTTTTCTTGATGTTTCTGCCTCAAGTGTTTTATTATAATAAAAAGTCTAATATATTATTAATTCTGCAATGACATATTTTTGTGTCCATTAAAGGTTATCACTTCAGCTTCATTTCTCTTTGAAAAACTGTCAGCTTTATCATTTCTTTGAAGGTTGCATTTTTTACCCTTGACTTTTTTTTATAATTTCAGGTGAAGAAGACTAGGTGTATTTCTTTATCTTGCCTGAAATTCACTGAGCTTCTTTAACCATAGATCAATGTCTTGCAGCAGTTTTGAAGAACTCTCAGTTTTTACCTATTTAATAAATTACTTTACACCATTTTTCTTTGCTCTGGGGCACCCCTCAAACCCACATTAGACCTTCTCATTCAACTGGTAACTCTTCTGCATTTTTTCTGCCACATTATAGATAACACATTCTAATTTTAAGATTATCTTTCCTGCCATGGGGTCAATCATGTTCACTGATTTTCAATTTCAATTATTATGTTTTTCACACATATCAATTCTACTTGGCTTTTCAAACGTATATCACCTGTAATGTTTTCTTTCCTTATAATATTTTCCAGTTTGCTGATCATTTTAAAAACATAAACATAGTTGTTTTAAATCTAGTATCTAAAGCCTGTGACAATTCTAACCCTGCTAGTTTCTATTTCCTGTCTTGATTTCTTGTATACTGTTTTATCTTTGCTACCATGTTAGCTATTGGTAGTGAAAATTTACTTATGGTGCTTTTCAAGTCACAAAGTAAGTGTGCCTTCTTTCTGAGCAGCACTGGAATGGCTTTTGTTAGGTTCTGGGGGTTCTGCTAGTGAGTGATCATCTCAAATTATGTTAGAACCTAAAGTTCCCTGACCTAGTCACGTTCTGGTGCTCAAGGATCAAAATCTTTTGAAGGTTGGTCTGTATTTACAAGTTTGATCCTTTTGTGTCTTATTTTCTTTTTAAAGTCCCTATATCTGGGACTCAAAGTAACACCTTCACACACAATCATAAAAGCTCTATTTAGTAATAAGAGCTCAAATATGTGTTAATTTATGAGGAAGAAATTTAATTTTACTATTTCAAAGCTGCTGGGCATTGGTGGTACATGACTGTAATTCCAGCATTTGGGAGGCTGAGGCAGAAAGACTGCTGTGAGTTCAAGGTCATCCTGGGCTAATGATCACGGCTCAAAAAACAGAAACAAAACAACAACCCCCAAAACAACAACAACTTACACCAAAAACAAAACAAAACAAAATGAAATCAAAATCTGTTTTCCAAAATAAGCAGCAAAATATACCATGTATAGGTACAAATTCCCTATAGTGAATGTTATCATTATGTGTATCTAAAATGTACAAATAAAATTTTTTAAAAATTTGTTTCCAGTAAGAAAGTTACTATGCTTTTCTCAGAATAGGACATATCTATAAAAATTGTTGAGCATTAATGCTAAATGTACTTTTTATCAAATTTATTCTTGTGGTAATTAACTGTTGTGTCAGCTTGAGTAGGAAACTCCCAGCTGATTGGTGCAACACAATTCTGGGTGTGTCTGGACAATGGTCTTCATGAAGAGAGGAAATCCAGCCTGGGTGTGGGGGCACCAACCAGAAAGCCTCTCTGGGCTGGATGGAATACAAAGAGAAAGAAGAAGAAAGTCTTGCTTCAGTTTCTTGAAAGCTACTCCAGTCTTCACCATCACCTTTGGACATCAGTCTCTGGGTTTCCAGCACAGACTCTCCAGCCTTGCAACACACACATTCAGCCTTCCCATGTAGGCCCTTGGGCTTTCCAGTATAGACTCCAATGGGGCTGAAGGGAGCTCTAGATCTTCCACTTGGAGTTGACTGTATTGTTCGGCTCTTCAGTGTGCAGATGGCCCTTCTGTGTTCTCTCACACATGGCTCTGCAGGCAGCCACTGTAAGCCTACTTTCTAAATTGTACATACATAGAATGTGCCACACACACACACACACACACACACACACACACACACTCTTCAGGAAAAGAAAAACATGTATAACTATTTTAATACACATCAACATTGACTCACAGTAAATTGACTGCTTTGTCATGTGTACGTTAGGATTTTCATGATGTCTCAATGAATTTGGTATTAAACATTTATACAAGTTTTTCTCTTTCTAAAATGCATATGTTTTCTGGGTGAACTCATTTATATGATTACATATATGAGATTTATATTTTATATATTCCATATATGAGACATTTTTTTTTCACTCTGTAGAGGAGATAAACTTCAAAAGAATGTGCAACTAATAGTTTCATATAAGATCTACTGGCTTAACCTTGACCTTTATGTAAGGTGGCTTAATTTCACATCACAACTCAAAGTTCTTGCTTGTGAACTGGAGATAATACCAAAGTATCCTGATGGTTCCTTTTTAGAGCTAACATTCTATGAACTACAGATGCATCCACATTTTACAAGTGACATCCACAATAGACTTTACTGAACAATGACAGTTCTCTTGCCCATTGGTACAACCTTTCCATAATAACATTACAGTCACTCACCTTCAATGGACTACAGATGGCATAAATCCTATTTGTAATCCCTATTTGTATATATGGTATCTTTTGAAATACTGGATAATACAGCTTATTTTGTACTGTATTAAACCACTATTTGCTTTTCTGATAGTTTAAATTAACAAATAATGCCTCCAATAATTCTCACCTTTCAGGATTATAGAGAATTAAAGTATACAACTCAAATGTTCCTCTATTAAAAAGGCGATAATTAGGACAAAACCAATTATTCTCAGCTCTGTACAAAAGCATCTTATTGAGAAAAGTGCTAATAAATAAAGACAACCAGTGATTTACTTCAGGTAGATAATAAAAATTTAATAGTAATCTGCAATAAACATATAAAATCAACTGTTTAGAGTTTTAAATGTTAAAAAATAATATACATAACAAAGTCAACATAGTATTGATAGTGCTGCAAGTTAAGATTTTTTCAAATTATAGACTATGCCAATCAGGCTGCTTTTTACTCAGAGGTTCAAAAATTCTGCTTTTATTCCTAAAAACATCTGGACAGTAGGCATCTCTAATGAAACCAAGTAATACTTGCTGCAGTGTAATGGAAGCTGTGTCACCATCATCTCAATAATCTAAGGAAACCCACTCATAATGAAAATAAAAATGGTAAACATTTACTCATGTTACCAAAAATGTCACTGTCAAAATAAAAATGATTCCTTTTTCTTTCTTAATGTCACTGAAGCACATGCATGAGAAGAAGTGAAAAACCAAAGGGTAACTTTATGCTATATGCTAGGTCAGTATTATAATTCACAGCCTAATTTTTAAGACATAATATTTCTGGTTCTCAAAAAGAAGTAGAATTATACAACTTTTTTAAATATCAGGAAATATAATTTTGTGAGTCATTTATAATCAAACCTTTCAGTGATTTCTAAAACTGTTTCTACAGACTGTTTCCACTCAGCTACTTCAGGAGATACATTGGCTGAAAAATGACTTGAGAATATAAACTTCAAAGCTAAAAATTCCACTTCAAAATGTAAAGACTTAAATAGAGCCTTTGACAAGGTTAATTAGTGCAGAATTGCTGGTCAGGATGAAGACAAGTGTTACACTGGGAACAAAAACCAAACAGCAAAACAAAACAGTGATGCTGAACTACTAAAACAAAAGAGCAGGTCTCTCATAACAGAGGTAATTCCTTCAATCTAAAGACATTTACTGAGTCAAAGCTACCTTATTGTATGGTAAGTCTTCAAAATCATTAAGTCCAGTTCTAGGTCAATGCTGCTTATGCTTTGGTTGGTGATCTGATCACTATACAGTATTTAACTACAAAATTAAAAAACAAAATAAAATAGATAAAATGCTAGATTCTTAACTGACAAATCATGTTTGTCTATCTTTTCTTATGCAATAAACATGCCCATCTTAAATCTGTTATTTCTTATAAATAATCTCTATTTTCCCACTGAAGTTTGTTATTCTGATGAGCCAAATTCAAATGCTTCCATATAGTTGAGGATTAAAGAAAGTCCTGAGGATTATTCATCATTATCTGTAGAAAACAGAAAATAATAATTCACTTCATTTCTAATCAAATTGTATCTGCTAGTTTAAACACTCATTCTTTTTTATAATAAAGGAAAAGAGATTTAATGCAGTTTTCATTATAATAGTAGATACTGATAAGATATTCATATGCTGTAAGAAAGAATAAAATGGGAAACAAAAAATCATCAGACAACTAATGCTAATAATTATATACAACTTTTTCCAGATTTCTTTACTGTATTTATCTTTGCAAAAATTACACCGAAACACAGTTTTGAGACTTGAGTTTTTCTATTTCAAATATATTATGAATGGAAAGGATAAATAAGAGCAAGCAAGATGATAAAGAAATATTAAAAAATGTTAATGGTAGGATCCACAAGGTAGGTATATGTGATCTCCATAGTTTTCAATCATGGATATTTCACATCAACTTGAGTATCTGCATATTGCTATGGTGTAATATAATTAACTGTTCATCATATTTATGTTTGGCTCGCTCCCTTCCTTTCTCCTTGTTTCCCTTTTCCTTCCTTCCTTCCTCCTTTTCTTTTTCCCTCTCTTCCTTCTTACCTCACCTCTTCTTCCCCAATTTTCTTCCCTTTCCTCTCCTTTTCCTTTCTCTTTCCTTCTTCCTCTCCCTCCCTCCACTCCCTTTCCTTCCTCTGTGCGCCTGCCTGCCTCCTTTCCTTTCAGCTCAAATCCAGGGCCTTGCATATGCTAGGCAAGTGCTACACCACCGAGTCACATCCCAAACCCAGTAGCCTGAAATTCATGTGCATTCTTTCTTCTTACGGTTTCTACTTTTATTATATATTCAACTAAACAAAATTATTTTAAAATATTATACAAGTGTAACATATACTTATTTGACTTAATAGAAATTATTGTTTAACTGCTTTATCAATCATTTTGATATGTGGAATCATTACATAAACACAGCATAAAGTTCCATCTAAAATGAATGTGGACGGAAGGTATATGTTTCTCTTTAAGAATCTGTGAGCTGGGCTGGGGATTTAGCTCAGTGGCTTAAACACCTGCCTGGCAAGTATGAGGTCATGAGTTCGATCTCAGTACAAAAAAAAAAAAATTCTATGAGCTTGGCTGTTAGTGCTACTATTCTATGTGAGGACTCCCATCAGTCTACCATTGATCACTGTTATACTCCTCTCCTTATGGAGGAACCTATTAAGAAAAGTGTTAATTTATAAATTGTAATAATTGTTTTTCACTTCTGACATTGGAGAGTACCCTGCTATGGACTAATCAGTATTAGCCTTATTAAAGGTATAGTTTTCAAGCTAAGCCTTTTGAATAATACAATACACATTTTACAACTAGCTTATGCAGTGGCTATATTAGTAAGTTATACCATTTTATGAGCTATACTAAGATTTTTTTTTTTAAAAGGCTACCAGAGTTCTTTTTTCTTTACCTACTAAGATAGCCATTTGGCTTTAATTGATTTATACTCTTTTTTTTTCCTAGGTTAAAGAACTCTGGAGTCCTTATTTCCTTTCTATCTTCATTTTAGGGAAAAATCTGATACTGCTTCTGGAGGGATCCATCAGCCTGGTCTGATGCTTGGGCCTTTCAGGGGGGTTAACCTATGTAGGCATGTATCCTGTTGAAGCCACTCAGCTGTCTAAAAGAGGATGTCAAATTTACCTTGTGGCTAAGTTGATTATTTACAGATCTCCATTTAAGAGGCAAAGCAAAATAAAAGCTCTCCAGATACATGATAAATGAAGCAAAAGCCTAAGCACACTGCTGCTGATTAGTGTGAAAAGCTCCATGGAAAATACTGTGGAGAACTGCCTGAAGGATGAATAGTCTGAATACAAACAGAACTGGTATGATATTCTCTGCAGATTTACTTACTTGGAATCATCCTCAGGCCTCATGCCAGCAACTTACACTACAATGTATTATGAGAAACAGACCCATGAAATCCAAATATTATAAGAATTACTGAGGATATTTTTCATTGTAGTATTGTTTTTAGAAGATGAAGCCTAAGATCTTTTTTTTTTTTTTTTTTTTTTTTTGTCTTTTTCCTTTTTATCGGTACCAGGGATCAAACTCACGACTGCCTGCTTGCAAGGCAGGCACTTATGCCGCTGAGCTAAATCCCCAGCCGAGCTTAAGATCTTAATAAAATCAGAAATCCATATTCTAGATAATACTTGCCTGGGGATGTAGCTCAGCACAGTGGGTTCAACCCCCTGCACCACACACAAATAGATTTTTATTTTGATGGTAATCTTTTACTATCTAGAAAAATAAAACATCTGTATTATAGCTGTAATTTACAACTGACAGAAATTTGCAAAGACTAACACTTGAGTTTGTGCTGGGGGGTGGATCTTTGCTCCTTGCTTGGATTTTTTGCTCCTAGAAAAAATTTTTTTCTCCTTATGTTATTTAAACTCGAAGAACACTATATGGTAGCTGCTTCTTGTTAAGCATCATGGGAAATTATTACATTGGTTTCAATACCAAAAATATCTGTCCTCTGAGCAACTAATATGTTTTGTCCCATGAACACCATGGCTCATTTAATTCCTTGAGTTTCCTGCTTTGCTAGAAAGATCAAAACCAAATCTGTGCTTTGCCTTTAGAGAATGTAGAGACATTAGGAGCATATACTTTGAATTCTGACTTCATTCTTGGCTTCATATTATATTGCTTGTACTCATCTGCCAGATATGCTTTTTCAAAATACTTTTTAAAATTTAATTTTATCTTGTAAATTTTATGAAAATTTATATGCTAACATTTGACATCAACATTCAAAACCATTAAGTTTAGTCTGTGCATAAAATATTTCATTAATAGGATTAATTCTTTTGAAAATATTTTAAAAATAAATTCTTGCTCAAAACTATATACATTTATGTGTATAAATGCTTCTTATCACATCCTTGATAAGAATTATTCTGATTTGTAGAGCTATCCAGTTAGATCTTAAAATTTTTTAAAATTTAAATGCTACTTATAAATTAAAAGATACTGACAACCTAAGACAATAAAACTATATGACACATCAGGAAAAATACATAACAGTTAACTTTATAGTTGTTTAAAAGTAGTATGTATGAGTTTGATATTGATTTTGGTAAAATACAAGTGATGTAAACTCATCAATTTGCATACCATGTTCTTTTTTTTCATATTTATTTAAAATATAAAGCTATGTAAGAAAAATCTTACCTTCTTGGTAGGCTCCATCCGCCATTACTAAATGAAGAATCTTGGCGTAAAGATGCTGATGCTCATTTCCCAAAATATTCTGAACTACTGTTGAACAAATCTCAATATTTTCATCTTCATCTTCATGAATGGCCTAAAAATTTCCAAATGCAAATTAACATTGTAATACTAACTTTCTAATTGGAGATTTTACTTATTATTTATTGATGATAAATGTCATGACCAATAAAGATCATCAATATTTCTCAAGTATTCAAACAGAGCATACTTCAAAAGTAATTATTTTAATTGACATTTTACTTACTTTTATTTTCTCATAAACCTTGAGAAACTTTTCAAAGCCCATTTCTTGCTCCAGGTGAAGTCTCAGTTCCTCTAAATGGTTAAAGACACTATCATATTCACATTCACTAGTAGCCTCACCATCACTATTATCTAAAAAACAAAAAATAAAATAAAATGATATTTTATGATTTCAAAAAATAATACATTCTAACCCTAGACTATGATTCTATGACATATGAATGATGTCACTAATGTAGATGACTTATTCCTTTAATATAAACAATTGTGGACATGATATAAATAGTAAATCAGTTAGAGTAAAACATTTCTAGTGATTTCCACCAAGGTAAAAAAGAAATCCAAGATGCATCATTTAATTTAGTAAAAAAAAAAAGGAGAAAAATATATTTCTGTGCTCTACATTGAATCAGTCTGTTCTAAGAACTGTGTTTTAAAAGCTGATGATACACATAGTCCATAACATAACAAAGCATACAGGAGTCAAATGACCTGAGATACATAACACAACATTTTGGGAAAACACTGGAAAATTATGAATACCCAGTATTTTTGGTATGTATATACCATATATATTTTGAAAACAATGACTGAACAATGTTTTTCTGCATTAATTCTGCATTCCAAATAGTTACTGAAATGCATGAACTTTATATACATATTAAGGGTAATATTCTGAACAAAGAATGGTTTCAAAATGAAACAAAACAGTGTTAAAAATTAAATTACCTTTATTACTGGAGAAATAAGTAAAAAAATGGAGAGCAAGCAATAATAAAAGTCTATTAAAAGTCACTGCTGGGATTTTTAATGGGAAAGAAATGGATTAGCTACCTTTACACATTTGTGTAAAAAGAAAAAAGGCAGGAACACAAAACCATGCTTCAGTTTTAAAGCTGACAATGGCTCATATTAGATATTGGAGAATACGCTCTACTTAAAATGTTTATTCACACTGAAACAGAAAAAGACCCTCAACCATGATCATGCACCTGAGTGCCATTCTTCGTTTAGGGCACTTTCGCTGCTGGGATTGTCCTCTTCATCTGCCAGATCTGTACCATTTGCAGTTTGCTCTGCATCACTGTTCTTTAAGACCGACTCTTCCTCCTCACTGTATTCTTCACCAGGCTGCTCCCTAAGTAATTGCTCCATTGAGGCCTGAAGCTCTTGCAAATCTGGGTCAGCTTCTTCAAACACACTGTAATTTAGAAAATTAAACATCACTAAAACTTTACTGATTTAAAAAATGTTACTTCAACTGAATATGTGTGTACTCCTTTCTATTTAAAAATATGACTCATAGATAAAAAGTAGTCTGAAAAAACCCTACGTAATTTTTTTTTTTTTTTTGGTACAAGGGATTGAACTCATAACCAGGCAGGCACTTACGCTGCTAAGCTAAATCCCAAGGCCCCTATGTAGTTTTTAACAAAACAATGAGAATGAATATAAATGATAAATATGATAAATAGCACATGACACATATTCTGGAATACATAAGCCAGGAGGTGACTTGTTTACAATGGTCTTGATTTGCCAAAGAGAATCACATAACCATCAATATTATTCATCCCTTAAAAACTTTGAAACAATGATGCTATTTTAAGGAGTCAGACTAATGTTTTTCACTTCTAAAACAAATATTTAGTATTCAAATATTTCTGTTATATAATTTGAAAGGTCAAAGTCTTCCTGTGAATATGTAACAGTTGTACACTGCCTGAAAGACTTTCCATATAAATGTTCGTGGATATTTGAACTTTTAAACTTTTTAATGGTGCCAAGGATCAAACCCAGGACTTCTCCCATTAGGCAGGTACTCTATTACTGATCTAAAGCCCCAACCCTGCTCTTACAGAAATGGAAGCGACTGTTCAAATTAACTCTATGGTGTAGGAATCTGACTTTTAGGCATGTACTCTCAAAGATGTTTCTAAAATACATAATAAATACTTTCTGTGTAATTAGAATATACTACCATAATACTAAAAATCTTCTTTTTAAATAATGATCAGTGTATTATTACTATTTTTAATGGGATTATAAATACAGAAATAATTTATACAGATAAAATAGGATCAAATTGCTTAATAAACTAAAACACTGTATATTATAGTTTACATTTATATAGTATTTACTTATATTTTACAAGTGTTTATTATATCTATATAGTATCCTAGCTTATTAAGCAATTTCATCTTATTATTTAAACAAAACTAATATTAGGGACATGGAAATTGTAAATCAAAGTCATCACATTAAAAAAAAATTTTTTTGGCGGTACCAGGGATCAAACTCACAACCTTGTGCTTGCCAGGCAAGTGCTTATGACACTGAACTAAATCCCCAGCCCACTTTTTTTTTTTGTACTGAGGACAGAACTCACAACTTTGCACTTGCCAAGCAGGCACTTGTGCCACTGAGCTAAACCTCCGGCCCCTCATTAAATATTTTTTATTAGTATATGTTTGTGATATATAATTAAATTCATTTTGGGGAATTAACGTACACACATACTCAGCATCTTGAGCATACTGAATTCCCTCCTTCCCCTTCCAGATGTCCATGCTATCTCCAACACTGCTCCTCTTGCCCTGTTCCTTAACATCACTCCTTTATATTTCTCTTGAAATTATTTATTGAGTTTGAGTCCCTCATGTAAGAGAAACCATGTGCATGTGATATTTAATCTGTGTTTGGTTTATTTCATTTAACATCGCAGTCTTAAGATCCATCCATTTCTTAGACAATTCAATTTATTTTTATTTATGGTTGAGTAATACTCTATGGTATGTACACACACACACACACACACACACACACCTTCTTTATCCGTCATCTGCTGATGGACATATAAGCTGTTTCCATAATCCAGTTACTGTGGATTAGGCTGCTATAAACACGAGTATGTATATATCATTGTAATATGATGACTTTAACTGCTTCAGGAAGATACCAACTAGATTAAATGGCATTGCTATTTTTAGTTTTTGAAGAATGTTGATATTGATTTGCACTGTGGTTATACCAGTTCACATTCCCGTAAACAACGCAAGAGGGTTCCCTTATTCTCACATCTTTGCCAGTATTTGTGGTTGTTAAGTCTTTGATAGCTATTCCTCCTGAAATGTTGTTTTAATAATTTGCATTTCCCTAATGGCTAAGATGCTGAGCATCTTTTTATACTTATTGGTTATGTGTAGTTTTTCTTTTGAGAAGTGCCTATTCATTTCAATTGCTCTTTTTATTACTGTAGCTTTATAATGTAACTTGAAATTCAAGTTTATAATGCCTCTCATTTTTCTCTTTTTGCTCAAGATGTTTTGGCTTTTCTGGGGCTCTTCTGGTTTCTATAAATCTTAGAATTTTTTCCAGTTCTGTAAAGAATACTGTTGGTATTTTTGACTAGAGATGCACTATATCTATGTATCATTTTTGGTAATAAGGCCACTTTGACAATATTGATTCTTCCTATCCAGAAAAGAGATGTCAATTTTTTAATGTACTCTTCAATCTCTATTCAGAGTACTGTTGTGTTTATTATATAGGCCTTTCACCTCCTTGGTTAGGTTGATCGCCTACATATGAACATTTTTCTTTGAGATACCATGGTTATAAATATTTTCCTGATTTATTTTATGGTTCATTACTGGTTCATAGGATGTTACTGAGTTCTGTGTGCTGATTTTGTATTATGACACATTTCTGAATTTGTTAATTAGTACTATGAGTCTTATGGCCAAGCTGTTTTTTTTTGGGGGGGGGGGCGGCGAGGGGATCTTCTGTGTAAAGGATCATACTATTTTCAAATAGAGATAGTTAAATTCTTTTCATACTTGTATCTCTTTCTTTCTCTGGTTAAAGTTTAGAGTATTGAATAGGAGTGGTAAGAATGGAAATGCATGTTTCATTGCTGGTTTTAGAAGTAATACTTTCAGTTTTTCTTAGAATTGGCTTATTATACTTGGCTTTGTCACAATTGGCTTTTGTAAGTTTGAGAGAAGGCCCTTATATACCTATTTTCATTAGGTTTTTTTAAAAATCATGAATGGGTGTTAAAGATTGTCAAAGGCTTTTTCTGCATTTATTGAGATGATCATGTGGTTTTTACTCTTACTTCTATGTATATGGTGTTATTACATTTACTGATTTATGCATTTTATACTATCCTTGCTGCTTTGGAATGGCGCCAACTTGGTCATAATGTGTGATCTCTATAATGGTTTGTTGTATTCTGCTTGCAAGTATCTTGTTGAGGGTTTTTACACTTATGTTCATTAAAGGTTTAATAGCTTGCAGTTTTCTTACTTTTTTTGTTGAAACTTTGGTTTTGGTATCAGGGTAAGGTTGGCTTAAAGGAATGAGTTTGGCAGCGTTCCTTCTCTTTCAATTTTATAAAAGAGTTTGGGAAATATTGACATTAGTCCCTCCCTGAAGTTATGATAAAATTCAGTAGTGACTCCATCAGGTCAGTTACTTCAATTTCATTGTAATTAGCCTATTTGGGATTTTTATATTTTCTTCAATTTTGGTAAATTATATTGTCTAGGAACGTATTTACTTCCAGATTCTCCAATTTATAGGAACGCGCTTTTTTGAAATAGTTTCTTTAACTCCTCTGGGTTGGAATGGTGTCCACAGTGATTTTACCTTTTCTATTTATAATTGCATTGATATGAATCTTTTCTTCTTTTGGTCAGTTTGGCTAAGTGTTCACCAATCTTATTTATCCTTTTAAAATTACTTGATGCTTTTTTGTTCTTTTCAAAATCTCTTCAAATGTTTGTTTTTTAGTTCTTTATCTGAAATTTCTTCTACTGTAATGCCCTTGAGATTAGCTTTGAGGGATTATGAATTTTTAAAGGCATTTTACTGCATTTTCTCCTCATCATTCATAGTGTGTGTGTGTGTGTGTGTGTGTGTGTGTGTGTGTGTGTGTTGAATGTTATAGATCAGTTGGGCTAGAGGGCTCTGCCATTTTAATAGAGATTCCTAATTGTGCTTTTACAAATACTTTACTCAAGGGTATTTTCATTTTTTTACTCCAAAAACTTATAACATTTGACTGAGGTGTTGAGAGGGCTGATTACTATTGAAGAAGTTAAAGGCGGATTTTTATCTAAGGGGCCCCCACTCCCCACAGTTCTCAAAAGCTTTTTGGTTACATTTCTCTCCTGAAATCTAGGTTTCCTATGAATCATAAAGAAATAAATTTTATAAAGGTAATCAAATTATATGCAAAACACACACACAGACACACACACACACATACACACATACACACAGTAATCCCTTTTCCTACCCTACACAAACAAAACCACTACTCTGCACGCCAGCTCCCCCATTGACATGGCCATGAAATCATGGAAAAGACACAGGTGTTGAGCTTTCTGGTCATTTTCCTGGGGAAGTGTAGAGTATTAATTACTCATAATTTCCACTATAATCTCGGCATTATATTGTATTCCACTATTAAACTGCCTCCTAACATTCATTCACTTAACAAGAATTTACTGAGTACTTACTCTATGCAAACCAGTGTATACAGTGCATAATAAGATAGTGAGCAACAACAGAAACCATTTTTTTCTCATATCCTTCAAATGAGATTTACTATATAATTTAGAAGCAGATGTACATTATCAAAATTTGTACAACTATACTTTAAATTGTAAAAAAGTTATAGTGAAAAGTCAGATACAGATCATTTTCAAAAAAGTGTGTAGATGAGTTACTTTTTGGAATGTTTTAAACAATTATCAATTCAGCAGTTACATTAATGCCAGTGTTTATGAATGACATTATGCTTACATGTCTTCAGAATCAGAAGGCCCTTCTTTAATGTGCTCATCTTCAATTTCGTCTATTTCAAGATTGTCTTGATGAACATCTCCTACAGTGGGGACATCCATTAGGGTTCTGAACAGCTTTGAGAGATCTGGAAGTGAGCATGTCCTCAACATCTAAAAAGAGTCAACAGATTACTTATTAGGAGAATTAAAAATAAGGAAGACAATTAGAGCTAATAAGTTATATATAAATCATATTTTAAGAACTAGAACAAGAGGATTCAAAGGTAAGTTGCCAAAGATTGTAACCTAATTCTTTTTAATTTCAGCTAATAAACTAAATTTGTGAGGTATGATTTGGTTTTAACATACAGAAGTTCGTCTAAATGATGGGGAGAGGTGTTTACCTAGGTATATATCTGCCCTGGAATTGGAAATCTGTCAGGAATCAGGCAGTGCTAGAAAATTCCCATTCTGTGTTTTGCACCCATGGCCCATGTTTTTCTTCTTTTGTGGTATTTCTGAGTAGCTCTCTCATCTTCTTATGCTTAGCTTTCCCTACACAGTCTTACTGAAACACTGCAGTGCATTCTTTGAAGTGAAGCAAAGCACAATCACACAACTCACAATCTTTGGTACTGTTTAATCAATGAAGTTACTGGCTTGTTATCAGTGGTTAAATTAGGGGCTCAAGTCAGTTACAGGAAAGCCTAGCACTGTCTCCCTGGGCTTGGGACTGTGAGTGAAAGGCTGGAGCACAAAGCACTCTAATGGCAATGCTAAGAATCACTCATAACAGCAGAGGAACTCAGCTAATTGTGTTGGAAAATAAAAAACAGCACATAGTTGAGGTGTTGAAAATTTGAATTTGTGTTGGATAAGAACACAGATAATAGTAATAGATTATTTGCCAACCTTTCAACAATTAGAATGTGATGACTGGCAGGCATATGAAACAGATAGCTAGTTTTATGGGTGGGTTAACCCTAAAGGAATTTGTGAGTTTCGAAACATGATGACTAAGGTCCTGATAAGAACTCTACACCAGATGGAAGACTTTTAAGAAAACACAATGTTTAGCATATTAATAAAAATTTGTATTTGTGGCCAATTTTAGTAGTACAATCTATTTTTTGAGAAAAATAAAGGACACATTCTCATTATTTAAGCACATTTACATATTATAGCACTTAAGGGAAAAACGGTCACAAGTTACAAGTTGGTGAAGTTGGTAAAGATATATTTTCCATTGTTAGAATATGCACATCTTTTTATGCCTCCAATCATATATATTGTAAGTTAACAATATATAAAATAGGCTCTTAGGCCTAAGGATATAGCTCAGTGGCATAAGATCCTGCCTGGCAAGCACAAGGTCATGAGTTTGATTTCTGGTACAAATAAAATAAAACAAAATAAACTTCTAGCAATAGATTCTTTAGGTAATTACTCATCAAGAAAAATAAATCCCATACATGTACTATAAATTTATGGAGCTACTTGAAAGGGTAATATTTTTTTCTAGGCTGAGAAGAATTTTAGCTAGCCCTGATTAAATATTCTCAATTCTAGCTTATTCTTTTTATCAATTAAAATAGCTTTCACATCATAACATTAAAAGATACAGTTAGAAAAAATTTCAGGTGGGCATGGAATTTAACAGCTTACCTCTTGCAACAGTTTTTACCCAACTACCTGTGTGACAGCTACCAAAAGGAGAAACTCTTATTTATGTTTTATTTTAAAGAGAAAAACAAAAGAAGCAAACACACAATTAAAAAACAGCAAAAGCAAAAAGATAACAACAACAAAACCAGTGGCGATATAGGACTTCAAAACAAGATGATCAGAATGGAACAATGGTTGTTACATTACACAGTGTTATCCCTAAATAATTGCTTAGGCTACCAAAGACAGGCATGCAAGATTAATCAAATAACATAATTTCCCAAAGGAGAAACTCTTTGAATACCTTACTCATTGATAAGACTTGTGTGGTTCTTAAATAGAATCTTTACCTTCAGTCAAAAAGTTAGCCACCATGCCCAGCTAGCAGTCTACTGTTTTAATATCTACAGAAATAAATTCTGTAAATATCAGCTCATCAATAACACTATCTGAGATCTTACTTCATTTACATTTTTTTTTTTTTGAGATTCTTCACACGATGAACATCTACATAGTGTTTGGTATCATTATAAAGTCAAACAAGACAGTAATGTTTTCTAGAACCCTAAAAAATTTTTAAAAATGCATGTTGTCTTTATATTTATAGTTTTCTTCTCAAAAATAAAGGGAACCATCATATAGTATCATTATCAAGTATTAGCTTCATTAATAAAATTATATATAAAATTCAAGTTTAAAGAATTCTGTTAACTTTTTTCAACTTCAGAATTTTTCATATAAATTATGAATTGGTAATGCTCAGGTGTATTATAAAGCTGTTTATAATGGGCACATTTGTTGAGCCCATGTTTACTGCAATTAAATTATACCACTGTTCTCTTTCTTTTCTTTTCTTTTCTTTTCTTTTTTTTTGTCTTTTTGAGACAGGGTCTCATTGCAGTTCAGGCTGGCCTTGAGCTCACTTTGTAGCCCAGGCTAGTCTTGAACTCGCAATGATCCTCCTGCCTCAGCCTCCCGAGTGCTGGGATTACAGGTGTGAGCCACCACGTCTGGCATCACTGTTCTCTTAAAATAGCTTCTACAAGCATTTTTTTCTTCAATGCATAAACTTCATTAAAATGAGTTTAAAACAAAATTGTGAATACTATCAGTAGCAAAAATTATATAAAATAGATACTTTAGCACATCAAGACAGTTGACTCTTCAGGCATATGTTCTCCTTATAAATTATTGGTTAATCTTTTTTCCCATCTTGTAATTGTCAGAACAAGAAAAGGAATGCTCAAATTTTCACACTGTTCAGTTTTTCCACTCTACTCTCAAGGTAAGAAAAATACCAGCAGAACACATCTGGTGTCTTTGCATCCCTTATTTACTATCCTGCAGAGTGAAGAAGAACAGACTAAAATACAAACTTGAGAGAGGATGATGGTAAAGCACACATCTTTCCTACTGTCTGGGCACAGAGTGTGGGTATCCTGCTTCTCTGCTACCTTGTGCTGAGCACGCATAGGTCCTATCAGGCCAATGCCTGCCTGCTGGGAGCAAAATACGGCTAATTTTCAAAGTCTCTTTGAAACCAGGTCTTAAAAGAGTATAAAGCTCATTGTGGGTAAACGAGATTTATTCTGTAGACTCTAAGGGTCTCAAGGATGAGTAACTGAAGAAAAACATCAACCAGCACAATTTTGGGTAAAAGTAGGCCAAATTTTTTGGTTACTTTATCACAAATAAAACTCGAATTATGACTGACTCTTAGGTCATCATCTTAACTACAAATTTGAAGTGCAGTTAAGAGGTAACTAACTCAACTTTCTTCAGTTCTCATGTGATTATAAATCATAGGATTCCAAATATTACTACTGTATTTTGAGGGAGAAGTTTTCTCTTAGAAAGTCAAGAATGCAAAATGTGGGTTTAATCTTTGGGAGTACATATTGGCCTTCGCTACATTAGGAAAGCATGTGTCCTAGCCAGGAGCAATCTCTGAGGAGTACCTCTATACCTAATGAATAGTTCCTTCCGATAAGAGGAAAAAAATATATTTATTTATTTTTTTGAGACGGAGTCTTGCTGTGTAGTTCAGGCTGCCCTTGAACTCAGTGATCCTCCTGCCTCAGCCTACCAAATTCTGGGATATTAGAGGTGAGTGTGTGGCACCATGCCTGCCCAAACTATTTTTTATCAAATTATTTATCAATGCTTAATATGTAGTATGTTTTATTATCTATATTTCCAAATTATAAGTTTCATAAGCACAGAATTTTTGTGTTTTATTTAACACTGTAATCTAAGCATTTAGAAAGGTACAGTACTTGGCATGTAGTATTTATCAGTATTTGTTGATCAGATGAATCTGCTAACAGCAGCCTGCCAGACAATGAGAAAGGGAGGGTGGGAATTTCTACAAATTCATCCTGCAGCCACTTGTGAGGATAACCTAACACCCTTAAACAGTTTACACTGAAAAATAACAGTGAACTTTAGAGCAGAAGAAACCACTGGCTTTAAACCAAATATCACCTCTTTACTAGTTTTGTTTTTTCTGGAGGTGGAATACAGCTCTCCCACACTGATTTCTGTTTTGAGTATTTTTATTAGTCAATATTTGCAGTACATAACATTTATATTCCTTGTGTGGAATTGGTACATGAACCTAATAAATTTGAATATTTTTTCAGTCCTTTTCCCTCCCCTTGTTCTCTTTATCACTTTCCTATTTAAGAAACATCTATCCCTTTGCTTATCAATCATTTATTTTATTCTTTATTTATAATTTGAGTTTCTCTTATGAGAAAAATCATAAGCTTATATGTCTGATTTATTTCACTTAACAGTATCATATCAAGGTGTACTCATTTTCCTACAAATGATGCAAGTTTATCTTTCTGTGTGGCACACTAGTACTTCATTGTGTGAAAATATCACATTTTCTTTCTTCATTCATTTGCAGATGGTCAAATCTGCTGCTTCCAAGATTTAGTTGTTATGAATTCTGCTGCTAATAGCATGGGTATAGCAATAACACTATAATATGAAGTCTTTAATTCTTTTGGGAAGATACATAGAAAAGGAATAGCTGAGTCCAATGGAATTTCTAGTTTTAATTTTTTGAGGACTCTCCATATTAATTTCCAACATGGAATAAAGGTATCTCTTCAATAAATGGTATGGGGAAAACTGGCTATCCATATGCAAAGATTGAATCTAGACCAGTTTCATTCACCATGTATTAAACTAAAATCAAAATGGATCAAACAATTAAACATTAAAACAGAAACACTGAAAACATTTGGAAGATTAAATCGGTAACAACTCTTGAATTTCTACACATAAGAGCATATCAAATTAAAACCTGCACAGCAAAACAACCAGCCAACAGTGTAAGAAGAAAAACTACAGAATGGGAAAAAATTTTTGCCAGCTATTCCTGAGACAGAGGACTGATACCCAGACTATATAAAGAACTAGAAAAAAATTAAAACCCCCAAACAAAAAACCTAGTCAAAAAAAATGGGGACATGAACCTAAGAGACTTCACAGAA